TACAGGAACTATTCGAGCCGTTCATGCCAGACTGGGGAGAGAGGTGTTGTAATAATGTAAAATATGTGAAAAATACAACCTAGTATGAGAGCATGTTCTAGTACACCCCCAAAACAAAATCAAGACTTTGTAAAAGAGCATAATAGGACCCCTTTAAAACTAAATAAAAATAAATTATTAATATATAAATTAAATTAAAATGTAAAAATATATTTTTAATACAAATAAAATCGCTTCTAAATTAAACAAAACAATCACAGATGGTGTTAGCTGTTGTCGGCGCCGTCTCCAACTGAACATTAGCACTTTACTGACACATCATCTGTGTAATGACAAGTCTGTGTGGACGTCAGTCATCAAACACCTGCGTCACAGTGGAATCCTGGGTTAGCAAATTAATCTACACTGATTCCCCGACAGAGTCAAAGACTGTGCCTATACTGGACAAAATCTCAAAGACAAAAATTATTCATAAATTAAATAAATGTGTGTGTTTTTTTTCTTCTACAAAGCATAGCTGTATGATTTGCCTTAGAGATCATTATACGATGTATATAAAAGCAATACAAGTCTATGCTATGTCCTAATTTAGATGGCAAACTAAATATGCATGAGAGAAGGACTTTAATAAGCATATTAACTCCCTCCACACGTCCTTTCATCTAGAAAAAAGAAACCTCAGCATGAACAGCTAATAATCTCAATGTGTATTAGAAATTCAGCAGCAACAGAGAGCAAATTTACCCTCTCAGTCCTTCAGGGCAAAACAAACTCAATGCTCATTTCAAAGACATACAGAGGAAAACCAATTCCGATAGAGATAGGAAGTTTCTTTTTCTTTTAGTTCATGCCTATTAGCTTTGAGGCAATCTATAAGCTACTGTACTCTTAAAAGTACACTATACTCTTAAAAATAAGTATTCCAAAAGGGGGATTTGCAGCATAGCATGTCATAGAAAAAAAAAAAATTGTTGTTCTCCACAAAGAACTTTCAGTGACCAGTTCTTAAAAGAACAATGGTTTTCTTAGTGCAAAGAACATTTTAAAACTCTAAATATCTTTTTTTCCACAATAAAGAACCTTCTGTGGAATGGAAGGGTTCTATGGATGTTAAAGGTTCTTCATGAAACCATTAATACCATTAAAGATTCTTTATTTTTAAGAGTGTATGGTCTTTAAAAACACAAATCAGAGCTGTATCTGATCAAAAGTGGAGAATGATATTTGCATGGTCCATCTATGTCATTTTTGGCACAGATGACTAGGTGAGCAGGATAAATGATGAACAGGTAAGTGATACGAGACAAGGTTACCCTCTTCCTCTTGCGGGCCTGCGGGTGGTTCTGTCCATCTTGTGCTTTTCCCAGGAGGTCTGGAAACACCAGAGGTTTGAGCGATCGGGATCTGGGCGTTCGCGGGTAACGGAACGGGTCCATCATACGGAAATCTCGCCCGTATCGAACGGAGCAGAGCGAACGGGAGCGCAAGCGTCCAGCTGAGTGCAGACTGTTCACTCCAATCATGTCTGAAACTGTAGTGCACTATGGGAAATAATCAACTCCAGGTGGGTTTTGGATCTTCAAATGAGTTCACTCTGATATTTTTCATCAACTATTCAACTAAAAAAGCGTAAAACTCTTCCCGTAGGTCATGGGTTCGATTCCCAGATAAAGCAAGAACTGACTTTAAATGCAATGTAAGTCGCTTTGGATAAAAGCATCTGCCAAATGCATAAATGTGAATCTTCAATAAGAGAAACATATGAAAAAACCCAACATGGCTTCCTCCTTTAATAGACGAGGTAACTCCAAATACAAAAAAACAAAAAAAAAAACAAGAAAATCTGGCTGAAAAATGAAGGAAAATCCAAGTGTTTAGATGATGCGAGAAAATAAGTGCTGTGGGTCCTTTTTGCATCAGGTTTGTAAGTCCAGCACAGATTTGCGGTCTTTGCGATCACTTAAAACTATATATGGCTTCAGACCATCGTCTTAATATCTAACTTAAACATGAAAGCAATATGAAACGTGTTCAGCAGCGCAACAGGGAGTCTGCGACCATCTGTAGGACAACAATACATGACACGTTACATTTGTGAGACGCTAAAACTGGAGAATCAAGTCATTCAGAGCAAAATAAAAAGGACAGTGATCTTGAAATGTACGGTATTTCCCTTGCGGACTCTGAACACATGTAAAGGAGGCTTACAAACACCAACTTCTACAAGCTAAACATTGCAACCAGCGAGCGGCCAAACACACACACACAGTGATGCCACAGATGGCAAGTAAAGCTTTCAGAAGTGTGAAAGAACAGCCGGGATCTGACAGATGGAATGAGGCGAATGGAAACCGGGAAAAACATGAAATGCACACACGACGCCCTCACAAAAGACACAAACAGAGGCGGTCAGCACGGCATACAGGAATCCCCACACCTGCAGCAGGTTCGAACGACGAGCCAAACTCAGCACGCAATGCAAAAAAAAAAAAAAAAAA